AGGCTGTGGCAAGTGCAGCCCCGTGGGCAGCGATGCCGGGAAAGCCTCCGGGTGCGGAGCAGGCAGCGGGGGCAGTGGAGGCATCGGGAAGGGGCCAGTGATCTGCAGTGCCGTATGGTGAGAGCGAGGGGCCGGGGGCATGTGGCTTGGGGGCAGAAGGGAGACAGGATGGTTGGGGTGAGGGGGGCAGGGGGTGCTGTGATGGTGCTGGGGTGCTGGGGTCCCTGGGTTGGTGCTGATGAGGGATGCTGGACAAGTTTGGGGTCCGTGGGCCGTCATACACCAGTGGGGAGGAGACAAGGGACTGCCGGGAACGGTGCCGTGTAGGGGGCACAAGGAGACCTTGCTCCCGGCAGCAAGGGGAAGACCCAGGTGTCCAGGCTCCCTGCCCTCTCCCCAGGGACTCTGGGGCTCCAGTTTGATGCTGGGCTGTGGTAAAGCGGAGCTGGGGCGATGTGGAGCTCCTCTCCCTGGTCACCCGGAGCGTGAGGGGCTGTGACAATGCTGGGATCCCTCTGACATCCCTGTCCCCACAGCGCTAACCCCTATGCGGGGCTGGTGAACCACCTTCGGACAGCCTGGCTTTCGGGGAAGACGCGGCCCATGGAGTACCGCGTGGCCCAGCTGGAGGCCGTGGGACGTTTCTTGGATGAGAAGAAGGAGGACATCCTGGAGGCCACTGCCTTGGACATGGGCAAGGTGAGAGGGGGCCGGGTGCTAGCCACAGGGTCACATCTCTGGGGCTCTGCAGACCCCTTCTCTGGGTCTTGCATCCTCCTGGGTGCAAGTGTGGGGGTCTGGGCATAGGGGTCCACTTGTCGGGGTCCAGCATCCCCCTTGATGAGCTCCAGGGCTGGTGTGGTGCACCCGTAGGTGCTGGGTCCCTGCAGAGCTCTCCACAGCTGGGGTTAGCCACAGCACACGTAGGGACCACGGCACTCTCGTAGCTGCTAACCTCGTCCCCAGTGCACTTAAACCAGGCAAAGCCCCTGTTGGCCGATGTGAGGTGGGAACCTCAGCCTTACTGAGCTTTATGCATCGAGTCCCTGGTGTCTTCATGTGACCTCCACAGAGGCTTGGGATGCTCCTCGCCAGCCCGGTCGCACCCGGGATTACTGGTGTTGTGCAACGTGCTGGCTTTGCACATTCTTCCCCGGGCTGCTCAGGTTCGGGGCAGCTCGCTGGCCTCACAGGGACTGGTTTTGCTGGCATGGTGCTGAGCCGTGCGGTGGCACAGGTGGGAATCTGGATGTGGCTCTGGGTATTGTGGCATGCCGGGAGCTCCCGGATGGTCTGTTGAGGAAGCGGGAGCATCCTCGCCGTGGCTGTGTCTAGCAGTCTCAGCTCATCTCTTCTCTGTCGGTTGCTTCCGGACCCTGTTCTCCCCCTTTTTCCCTTCCTGACGTGAGCTGCAGCCCAACAGACCACCACACGCTTTGGTCATGTGGTGTTAGGAAATGTTTTTGGAGGGATGGCTTGCCCTGGCGCAGCATAACTGGTCTTATCTGGTAGTGGTAGCACTCGGACCCAAAGGACTTGTGTCTGCGGGTATATCAGCGCAGCGGCCGTGCCCTCAGACACGGGTTTCAACACCCTGACATCTTCCCAGGCTCGTAATTGCCTTGTTTGTTTGACGTGAGGGCCTTCTCCTTCAGCCGTGGGTTGATAGGCATCAGCGCTCGAGGTGTGTCCTTCATCTCTCCTAATTGTATGTAATTAGAGCCGGTTGTCTAGTAATACGCTTGTTATGCAGTCGGGCCTTCATAGTTAGATGGACAGTTCATCTGGTCTTACGTATCTGAGGTGGGTACCTCACCTCCAGGGATGCCAGTTTCTCTCCACTGATGACTGAAGGAATTTGGATGACCTCAGACTTAATGTCCCATCTTACAACCCCCATGTCCCATCAAAACCCTTAATGGCCCATCTTCACCAGCAATTTCCTCATCCTCCTAGTGATGCAACTGTCAGCCCAGGCTGAGAGTGGCCCCGTTGCTTCACCGGACGTCTGATGTGCCTGCTGAGTCCTCACATCTAGGAGCAGCTCGGCCTCCTGGCAGCGGAATGTGTCCAGGCGCTTGAGCGGCGTGGGGGACCTGAAGGTCTCTTGCGTGTGGCTTGGTGGTGGAGCATGAGAGGTTTGCTGCCTTGAGTCAGCAACCAAATGTTCTAACCCCAAAGTGGTGTTTTGCTGCAGCGTTGGAGGAAGGCTCCCACCCAGGGATGCTTTTGGGTTGGAGGAGTCCAAAGGACGTTGTGGTGGAGGGTGTCAGGCAGCTGCGCCCGCTGTGCTTTGCAAACACGGCTTCACAGCGCAGGAGCTTTGCTCCTCCTGCTCTCCAGGGCGACGGAGGGGCTTTACTGAGCCTGCCGAGTTATCTTCTCGTGTCTTCACACTTCTTGTGCAAGAACGGTCCTGAGCTGTGCTTCACGGCTGTGGTTACGGCAGAGGAGGGGACCCACCGCCTGCAGGAAATGCTTCGGCGCCCTGCGATCCCGGCTCTCACATCCTGCCACCGCTCCCGAGTCACCGTCCATTTAGTCATTGCCTGTTGGCATGGTCTATCTTGGAGAAACCTGCTGGGTTTGTTTAATTCCCCGACTGGGGCATCTTACCTGACCTGCCTTTCCCAGCTGCGTGCCGGCTCAGTGCAGGAGCCCCAGGAGCTGCGGGGGGTTTCTGCCCAGGACGGGAGTCTGATGGCATTCAGCCGAGCTCCATCATGAGGCATTTAATTAAGTGGTTGCTCTTCTTCATACTTCTCTTTGAACAAAGCAAGGTCCTAAGTTCAGCTTTCGTGCACGGGCTGTGGGAGGGAGCTTTGCTTCCAGCTCATGTGCCCAAGTGGTCGGGACACAAACGCACCGGTGTGAGAGCACTCTCCCATCTCAGGTCAGCGGCGCGGTACCAGCTTTTCTGGAGCTTCTGGGGCTCTGGTGACATTGCTTGGTCCCCCCTTGGCTCAGGGCTCTGTTGCCAGGCGAGCAGTTCACAGATGCTGAGCTCAGGAGGCTGTTAAATATTGTTTTTTTCCTCTGGCCAAATACCTATTTTCATAAAATTTCAGGGACTGTGATATTCCCTGGGGGTTGCAGGAGGTAATAGCAACTTCTGCTTAATACCTTCTACTTAATAGCTTTTAACTGCTCTTCATGGGCAGAAGAGGGGGGAGATGTCTACTGCGGATGGGGAGGAGATGGGGTTGGTGTTGGGGTGATGCTTATGCGATGTCTGTCCCCAGCCGTCCTTTGAGGCTTACTTCACCGAGATCCTCCTCTGCAAGAACGAGCTCAACAACACCCTGAACAACCTGTCCCACTGGATGAAGGACGAGAACGTGGACAAGAATCTGGTAAGGGGGAAGCTCTGGGCTGACCTGGGAAGGGAAGAGGGGGAGACGAATTGCGGGTGGCAAGGGGCAGAGCGGGTTGGGGAGGGGAGCGCTGCGTGCTGGGCTGAGGCAGGGCGGGAGGCGGTGGGAACGGCACTGAGGTCGTGGCCTTGCTCGCAGGTGACACAGCTGGACTCGGCCTTCATCCGCAAGGACCCGTACGGGGTGGTGCTCATCATCGCGCCCTGGAATTACCCCATCCACCTCTTCCTGGTGCCCCTCATTGGGGCCATCGCTGCCGGTGAGCCGAACCGGTCCTCTGGCCCGGAGGATCCAGGCAGTGCCGGGCACCGGCGAGGGGGTCTGGGGGGGGGGCTTCGTCCCTAGGCTGGGGTACCAGAAAGGCTGGCTGTCACCGTGTCACTGCTCTGATGTCCTGTCGATCTCGCCCCAGGTAACTGTGTTGTTGTCAAACCCTCGGAGACAGCCAAGAGCACTGAGAGACTTGTTGCCGAAATGCTGAGCTGCTACCTGGACAACGTAAGAAGCTCTCCCTGTCCTTGTCCCTGGCCCTGGCCCAGGGCCGTGGTGTTCCCAACCCTGCCTTGCACACACCAGCACCACACCATCCCTGGTTTCAGGTGCTGCTGTACCTCCTTCCGCCACGCTCAGCCGGTGTCCACATGCCCACCAGCCCGGGATGCTGTTGGTGGCCCGGGCAGGCGCTGACC